CAAGAGATTTTTTTTATTTCTTCATATGTTCATTATAACATTTAAATGAATTCATTTATGATTATAGACAAAAATTTATATTTCAGTCAATTTTAATCTAGAGTTCATAAAACTTTTACACATAAAGTTCCTAAAATCTTTAATGGGTTAATGTATGGAAGAAATTGTTTGAAGAGTTTCTGATGTGTAGAGGGCCGTATTGTTCCACTCTTATGTTACTTCGCCAGACCTCGCATTTCCGTTGATTTATTATGTAATTGAGCAACAAAACAAGTGTTAACCTGTTAACTGTGGAATTTAGTTTCAAAACACTCTCGATTTACGCGCAATAAAATCAAAGAATCAAGCGTGCACTCGTCAAATACAGAACGAATGCACCTATGGTATATTTTAATGAAAAACCGATACAGAACAAAGAAGAATTATTTGTTTATCTAAAAAAATAAAGAACTTATCATTAACAAAATAATTAATACCATTTCAAGCTTTAAGATGACGTGTATACTCGTTGAACACAGTTAATTGGTTTAATTACCCAAACAAGAGATCGGTACGTTGTCTCCACTTCTTCTATTATTTAAGTAGTCGATATATAATTTAGCTTCATCTGTTAAAGGTTTTGTATGTTGCAAAGATTCTTCGTCCACAAAAGGTTAAATTATTCATTTACAATTTTCGATTGTTCATATTGAAGCTTGAGGTCGCCATTACAGAGACCTTCGATCACAAAGGGTTAATAAAAGATTGCAACTGAGTAGATCGTTACCGGAATAAATGCTGACAGCGAATGTATCAATAAACAACAAGTTTCAGGCGAGTGCAACTTTTCGATTCTCCCTTTTGCCTCGAGACGATTAGCATATTAACCGCGATCCTGAGTAATTGACATTCAGTTGCGATAGTTTTTAATTGACATTGCGATTGCTTGACAGGCGTTTACCACGTTAACACTTTGTTGACCGGCAATTTTACGCAAAATCTATCCCATATCACCGGTTATTATCCCGCAATTAAATATGGAAATGAAACAATCTAAATAAACTTTAATATGCTTTATTTCTACATAATGAATTAAAATGAAACTTTGAACGTATCTTTTAAATAACTTTGAATATTTTGCTTTTGCAATATTGTCCTGCATTTCAAATATTGAGATAACTTATGAAAGTACGAACACGAGTTAACCCTTTGCACTCGTATGTCATGCTGAAGATGACAATACAAATTTGTTATACTTTATTTATGGTATTTTAAAAAGTACCACACTTTAAAAGATTATGAAAATTCAATGTTATAATAATAATAAATAAAATAAATATAAAACATTGAAGTGTACTACTATAAATTACTTTAATTTGTTTCCCTAAAAATAAATACAAAATTACACCCAATAGAAGTAAAAATAAATTGAATGCAAAGAGTTAACTCGTAATTGGTCAATAAGGTTTGGACATGAAAACACGAGTTAATTGCCCGGCACGCAATGTCACTGTAAAACGTTACGGAGCACATCTAGTGAGGATCGTCGCTGAAACACCCTTTCTTCGAGTGCCTCTGCTTTTCTCCTCACCCTTGCGGGCCTGGCCCGTTCCGAATGCAACAGGGATATGGTTTTAACGATATCCATCATAAACCCGTCGTCGTGGCGAGTACATTCCTCCCCCTCACGTGCCAGCAATTTATTATCCGCGATTTTATTCTATGTTTAGACGCGTGACGAACGAGCGTATTTACGAAACGAGTTCCCGCGACGTACCAGACAATGAAAGTACCTTGTAGAATGACGGCGACAGTTTCATAGAGGCGCAAGGTTGCATTCGATCGGGCAAATCGAATGGACAACAGGTTTCGTTAATGCGACTGTGTAACGTGGACGGACACGCACCGAATACGTTCTTGGGAATGCCATAGTAATGTATAGGGCGATTTTATTTGAGAAGAGTGTATTGAATATTAACGTTCAACTATTTGTATATGAACATGTGATTCCACTTTAACCTGTTAACTGTAGATTTTAGTTGGAAAAATCTCTCGTCTTGCGAGTAATAAAATGAAAAAATAAAATATGTACTCGTCAAATGCAGGACGAATGCACCCAGGGTATATTTTAATGGAAAACCAAAACAAAATAAAGAAGAATTACATGTTTATACAAAAAAAAAAGAATTAGTGTCATTTCAAGCTTTAAGATGACGCGTATACTCGTCAAACGTAGTTAACTGGTTAATACCTTTCATTTGTATATTGCTTTAACCCTCTATAGGTCCGTGACTTTGAAGTCGTACATCAATATACTGAGATTTTGTTGATTTATTTGATTTTTTACAGAATAATGACGGATGAAATTAAATAATTAATCACAATAAGCTTTTATACACACAGACGTAAACATTCAACGTCATTGTAACTTTAAAGTTATAAAATATATTGGTTTTAATGAGAATATTAAGACTACTAAATACATTGTTAATTTGTATTTGCAAGTTGATATTTATTGATTTCATACTGCATAAATTTTGTTATTATTAAGAAAGGAAATTTACCAGTTAACTGCGTTCGACGAGTATAAACGTCATCTTAAAATCAAAATAATACGAATTCATTCAACAATAAATCATTTATTTTTTCACAAAAGCATGTAATCCTTCTTTTTCGCATGTATTTCGTTAGAATATATTATAGATGCACTTGGCCTGCGTTTGACGAATTTACACTTCATTATTTTATTTCATTGCGGGCATAATCAGAAACTTTTTAAACGAAATTCCATAGTTCACAGGTTAACACTTAGGCAACTGTCTGAAAAGAAACTAATATGTACAACCTTCTTCATTTATTTTAATGGAATTCATTCAACGGATTTGATTAAAAATTGTATTTAATAAATGCAAAAAAGATACTTAATTAATTTGCGAATATCCCCAGTTCAAAGCTTACTAAATAACAAAAGAAAAATAAATTAAATAATTGCAATGCGTTGCTAAGGGAAAAGTGGGAGATCTCCGCATTCAGTTGGCGAAGTGTTAATAAAGGGATAATAAAGATTCACAGGGCAGGTTATTTGAACGTCAGACGTTCGTGTTTATCTTGTTAAAATCAACTGTATGATTTCAGCAAATATTATTAAACGTTCAATTTAGGGATAATATAACTTAACGCGTTGACTGCCACAAAAATTTCGGGCGTTTTGTATGGTAATACTTATTCTTTCATAACAAAGGCGAACGTTATTAGAAACAGTTTTTAATGATTTGATATCACATTACTCGTATTACGCTATTACGTAATTACATATGTTACCAAATATTTTGATTCCATATCAGTTTTATCACTGCAATTGTTCTCAAGAAATTTGGAAGCTTCAATTATTATCGATGACCACTGTAGCAATCAACCTGTTAAAGATATATCTTAACACGTGAAAGCAACACTTGCCGACTTTTATAATTTTCTCTTAACTATTCAACATTAACCTCTCACCGTTTGCTAAGTCTTCGGTGCCAAATTTCATCCATTCGTTTTCATTCTTTCCCGGAATTGTGATTTCTTTTCTGGTCACGTAGATAACCTACTTCCGATAGACCCAAGTGTTAAGTAATTTAAATTATTTCAGAATAGATATGCTTTAGTGAAATTAACACGATACAATTACGACGATGAATATAACTAATCCGAGCCTCAGTCAATTCAGTTATATTATAATTAACGATAATTATACGTAAGTAAAGTCAAACCATTCTTTACGTTAACAGTATAATACTTTTAACCTGTTAATCGTGGAATTTAATTTCAGAAATCTCTAATACTACTCGCAATGAAATCAAATAATGAAGTGCACATTCGTCAAATACAGTTATAATATATTCTAACGAAAAACTAAAGCGACACGAAGAAGAATTACATGATTATCTAAAAAAATAAATAGTTTATCGTTGAAAAATTTAGGTGCTATTTAGAGTTTTAAGATGATGTGTATACTCGTCAGACGCAGTTAATTGGTTAAAACTTAGATATTAAAAATAAAACTTTAAATATTACAAATGAATGAAGTAACTATTTCGTAATAACATTAAGCGAATCAAAAATTATTTACCGTTCGTAGCGTGCTACAATAATTACTCAATAATATAATTATTAATTATTCGAATAAACCAACACATACTCCGCAGAAGGAAACACCAATGTTTACTCTTCCACTTTTAAAAGTCATCGAGCTACCTATGAATCGATCCCGAGATCGCATTATAAATATTTTCCAATCCATTCCTCCATCATAATATGCGATGAATACTTTCAAGCTCATAACGCTTATTAAGATAAAAAAAAAGAAAAAATGCATTTGGTATGCTCCAGATGTACGGCCGATAACGAGGAATTATAATATTGTTGCGAAATTACCACACGTCTTTTTATCACAGGAAATGTACGCGCCGGTTTATCAAGGGCGAATGACATTATTTATGCGCGTTTACCATAGTCGCAACGATTCGCGTTATATCGCGATAACGCGCGGCGATCGACAAATTAACATCGTCGACGAATCAACGTGCGCCGTTTAAGGGGCAAGAACCGGAAGTCGCAACGTCGCGTATGCATATGATCGCTTCAGAATCCGCATACGATAACACGGAAACGAACCGTAGGAGAAGAAAAAAGAGAAAAACAGACGGAACAGGTGGAGATCGCACACCGGTAATTATCCGTCCGCGATCACGTGATTCGCGCACACCCATTGGCGTGCCGCGATTTTTTCCCAACGTATTAACAATTCAAATCAGATTGCCACAAGATCACGTATCGGAGGCCTGCCTAGCCGGTGGCCAATAAGATCATCGATTGTTAAAGAGAAAAATCGTATCGGTTGATTGCGTGTTAACTGTCCACCGTGGAGGAATTATGGCCGCATATGATGTCCGAGGCAGAAAAAAATGCGTATCGCGATCGAACGCGTCTATAGGAAAAATACACATGTATCCTGGATTATGTGTCGCTTAGTTGCAGGAGTATTGATTTCGCGAGGAGCCGCGTAATTACGCATCGTGGGCACCGAAAAGGCAAGGTAATCCGAGGGGAGGCGGAAGGACAGCCCTTAGAACAATTCCCTGAAGCGATATCGAAGCGGCAACCGGAGACTGGTAAGAGGATTTGCTCGGAGATTGATTTTATTACTTTCATTGTGAAGTTAAGTTCTTCTGGATGGGTACTGCCGCGTCCGAACATGTTCCTTGCCATCATTAAAGACGAAATGTAAAAGTAAGAGGCATGAGACGTTCTGATAATATTAACGCTAGATTTGCAGATGATCCGATGAATGATAAATTTCGTAAATGTTATTTTTTAGCTGTTTATGATGATTACAGTTAATCTAGTATTATAAACATCTTTGTATGCAAATAAATGTCTTCGTCAGTATCATTTTTTAAACATGGAATTAGAAATTATTTAAAATTAAAATTAGACAATTTAGAGAACATGGAATAGTTTTCGACGATTTTGAAACGTACAAGCCCTTGATAGAAATTTGGAAAATTGAGCTTTATTGCTCTGTAATGTTACCAGAATTTTATAATTCATAATATTTAGTTTGTAATAATTTCACGTAATGTACAGACTCGATCGAAGGTACGAACTAGTGGAAACATGCAATCTCCAATGATGACAAATTTATTCCCGATAGACTTGCTAATTTTCAATCTAGGTAACATGATTTATGAAAGGAGTAAAAATTATGTCACGGAGAATCACGGAACAGGAATCGTACTAACCTAATATGCTTTTATGCAAATTAAAAGCGAAGTAGATCTAGTAAATACCAGAATAAACTATCATTAATTATTACAAAATGTTATGCGATTATTTATTACTAATTCACTAAAGACAAAACTTTTTTTCTGCAGAACAATATTTTAGTTAATATATCAAATTGTGATATAAAGCGAAGTGAAGAATTTGGCATGGAGTTTTTGCCATAAGCAGCTTTGTATTGACATAAATTCAATCAAGAGGAGCTAAAAATTGAAAGTGCACCATTACATGTCATAATTGTTAATGTTCTATGCCAGAAAAATGAGATATAAAGGGAAAATATAAGTGTAAGGGAAATGAAAATTTTTAAAAGTGGAATTAATTTGAACAGCGGTTATAGATGCCCGCCATAATATCTTAAACGAGTGGTGCCATCTGGAAGTACGTATCTTCAGTCATTACTTTTATCTATCTAACAAATTTGTACATACATAGATTTGAAATCTATATCACCGACGAGAAATAGAATAGATTCACATCTTATAGGATATCATATCCGGTAGTCTGAAATACCGATTGTGTAAAAAAAGCAGACGTTTTGATATGTCCTCTGCAATTAAAAATGGCGAGTTTAGGAATTCAAATCTATTCGAACCAATATTTGAAGCTGACAAAATAGGTAAACGTAAAGAATTTTCTTTCCGGGGTAAAAACACATGCACGCACCTATATGTTTCAGATCTCATGGTAGAATTGTTAATTGTCGGCTATTAAACAATTGATACGTGTATGAACGGAAATTTTGCCATGTTTCCATGCGACATGATGATAATATTCTTAATAAATATAGAAAATTTATTTACTGAACATAATAAGCCCAAACCTGATTTCATTAAAACAATGCTTCCTCAGAAACATTGTCACAATACCATTGTAAATTCTACCTCTTATGCAATACAATTCGAGAAATTTAAAAATTCTGATAGACAATGCTGATAATTCACTAGTAAAAGATCAAAAACATATAAATAATAATAAATAAATATGAACATATTTTTCTTTTTTCTTCAATATTAAATTATTTTATATGACAAGGTATCTAATACCTCTAGGAAAAAGCAATTGTTATAATCAAATGGACATAATTAATACCAAAATTCTTTGAAACAGTTTTCCCGTAAAAATTACTTTATATTTTGATTTCTGTTTCGGCTACGTTTAACAATAATTTATAATCGAAAACAACCGAGAGAATGTCGAATAACACCCCACGCGTAATTTTTCATGAGATAATTATTTAATTTACGCACTTTTTAGTATGTTCATTGTTCCGATATATAATTAAAATAAACGGAAAATCACTGACCTTTCGAGTTCGAAAATGAAGAAAATTGGTAAACGGTATTTATTTACGTTACGAGGTATTTATTTTACGGATTAATGATTAAAGATTTCATAAAAAATAATGTTCAATATTTTTATGGAACAATAGTTTTGATCTTTCCAGATATAGAAATTAATTCTTGAAAAAATCATAGGAAGTTCGTAGAGTATATTATTTGATTAAATTATATACATTTTCAGGAAAAAAATGTAGTATCTGTAGTGTATTGTACTTTAAAATTGTATGGGGATAAATAACTCATAAAGAAAAACTGTGTTTCATTTCGAAATACTACACAACTATGTGAAGACTATATATAAGTTTCATATTTCAATATCCAATCGCCTCACCAAAAATATTGTAAATAAAATAAACATGTATCATATTGAAATGCAACTTCAGTTGGTCAAATTTTCTAAAATGTGAACCATATAATATCTGTACGGATCTTAAGTCTGTAATACAAATATATTATGCATTGAACAATTTGTTTCTTATTTTTCCGTCTTTCTTCCTCATTATTTTCTGTGTTTATCTTTCTGTTACAGAACAAACCTCCAGAACTTGTTGATTAATAATTTACTACGAATAAATTCTGTACAAAATCACAATGAGAAAATAACATAATCTTCTAATTTCTTGTAATATATGGAAATCTGTAACGTATTTATCATGATAAATGTTAAAACTACTGTTTAAACACTACGGTATACTTTAAACTTTTATCATAGTAATAAATGTTATCGAGATACGGATAAATTACAGCCGGTATGGCGAACTCACGTCTGTGTAACGTCGATTGCAGCTCATGAGGGGCACACTCACGCAGGCATGACAGCGTCCGATAAAAGAATGATGATTTCTATTAAACAAAAACGAGCGTTTTCCATATCCCCACAATGAGTAAGACAAAGACAGAGCGGCTATGCGACAAGGACAGATTGAGAAATCCCAATGCTACCAACTTTTAGAATGATTTCATAAATTCCTGGTCCTTACGCGCGAAGCATGATGAGTAAAGAGGTATCCGACAAGGATTAACATATGATTTAGTGGCAGAGAGATGGACACACAACACTCTCCTCACAAATCTGTATGTTACGAATGAAAGAATCGGTTTTGATTTTATGTTGTGTCGCGACACTGAATGATCGCGGTTTATTACGATTATTTTTATAATTAAAGTTGCGATATTGATCGACCGCATTTCTTTTAGCGTTGCGATATTCATTGAACGCGTTTTCTTAGTGTTGCGATTTAGAAAATACCCAAAAGCAAACTAGAACCACTGCTTGACCCACATGTTGCTTCGTAGTAACCAAAATGGCTGCGCCTGATCCTTGCAGTTTAAAGTGGCTGCACGTAATTCCCTATATAGTTGAATTGCCAGGACTATAAATTTTATAACTGTAATATACATAATATGTATTTATAAAAATATTTACATTTATGAATTAATAAAAATTGCGTTGTCATGAAGTTGCATTGAATAAATAGTACTTCCATCGTTTAAATGTACGCGCCTTACACATTTGTTGCCGCTAAATCGTATGACACAATCGTTAAGTCTGTAATCCTGCATTATCGGTAACGTCGAGTGCGATACCGAAATAGTGCGGAGGTATTGAGACCTCTGACGGGATACACAAAAATTCCCATAAGCTGTAATATTTGTAAGTACATATCTTAAGTCTGTGTTTTAATATTTGTTATTCTAATTCCTATCACTTATAGCGCTGCCATGCGAAACCCACCTAAGTCGATATGACAGGGCGTAACATGAAAATGGTAAGCGGGTCCTGTGACTCCCAAGAGCGTGTGACAAAATTTTACTTTGCATATCATGTCTATCCTATACCTCGTCTGTGAGGCTATCTTTTAATTTATTTAAATTTCCATTTTTATCATAATAAATGCAATAATCTGTTACTTTATTGGTAACGCTGCCGCTAGCCTAAAAATGACAACGATCCGTCTGTGAAAATACACTGATTGTTGAATCTAGTCTTGTGGTACTTTATCCGTGGATTAATTACATCAATTTAAGCTTCGGTTGAAAATGATAATTGAAGTGCGCGCGAGAATCAGCTGGGTATTTAAAGCCACCTAGTGGCAAGTTCGCTAAACATGTTCACAGTTAGGAAACATGGCGTAAAGTGAATGTTACGTATTTGTCAGTGATTTCGGTAAGGAGTCTGATCTTGCTGTCGAATTTATTTCTATCGGTGCTCGTGAAAACATGTTGGTTAGGTTTACACAATGAAGAAACGTAAAGGGATTTTGAATTTTCAATCGAGTTATTTAAATGTAGACAATCCAAGAGTATAAACTGTGACACAGCGTGTATTCAACCAGCCATTTCATAAGACCTTGGGATACGTTTATTCTCGTTAGTGTTGGGTTAATAAACTGGTATGGCATCAATTCGATGTTTCCGTTTCCATTAAGCTGCTAAATATCACCGAGGAACCGTGCATTTCGACTTGGACAATGTTTTGTTGATCAATACGGAAACAAAAAGGAACGTTCCTTTTCTAACTCGCTTCTATTGGCACGAGAGTGCATTCCGATCTTCTGTGTATTATACTCTCAATTTTTGTTCGTCTACGTCTTGTTGCTTTTTCATCGTATAAACATTTTGAAACGCAGATTACATGTTCCTCATTTTTGGCTCCTCGACAACAACCGGCAGGGATTGTGAGAGGAATAAGCCTGTGCTCATGTTTCTCGTGGGCTCCCCGTTCTGACTTTTGTTTATAGTATATGTTGTTTTTATCTTTAGAGTCTATGTTAGACATGTTTTTTGAAGTGTTCTGTTTGTGTATAGAGTAGTAACTGTGTTTTATCCTTAAAATTTCTGATTTTTCCTTTAATAGTCATTTTGTTCAATTGAGTAAAAAAAAAGTAAAATGAGAAGTTGTTTTTTGTTTCATATTTGTAATGAACATAAAATTAATCTCAAAGATCGTTTAATTAATCACGTAGATGTAATTCTGTTACGATATAATATTTCTGCCAGTTAAAGTGTTAGTCTTTGAATTAAAATTTATTTTGTTTCTTGTGGACTTGACAAAATAATTTTATGCTGCTCTAAATTTTTTAGACTGAAACAATCAGTTGGTATACGTGGACTGGATTCTGTAACTTATTTTGACTAAAAGTATATTCTATATAAAGTACAACTATTAGGTAAGTTTTAAATATACAATATAATAACTATTTTAGTCATTGTTTTTTAAAAATAAATTCATGTTAAACTTGTTCCAAGTTAAATGTTTCTTCAATATATTTCTATCCATTAAGTAAGTATTCACTAAAATTTTATATGTTGTTAAAGTTCTTACGATTAATTATTTTTAAACGATTAAAAAGTTCTTTAAGAAATTCTTTAAATGTGAAAGTACATATATTTTCAGTTTAAAAACAAAGAAACATTGTATTATTATCATTGAATTAATATAATTTCACTCTTTTATTAATCTATTATTAAATGACATATGCAACAATTGAGTTATATTTCTGTAAGCCGATTATAGACTTTCAATTATTTGGCAATGTCTTTCTCAAAGAGTGAGGAAGAAAAGGGGGATGGAGGGGAGAATTCTGATCTCAGAGAAGAGAGCCATTTTCCAAGTCTTCGTTTAGACATTCTAAATATAACTGGAGGCTCTATAGGCTTTACTTACTGTGTCATACTGTGCAGAGTAGTATCTCACTGTGTTGCGTAGATTTCACTTGTTTTCCACCTTTAGTATGGCATAATGCCAATTTTCTTTAATTAATGATAAATTTCTATTAATTATTTTGAAATAATACATCAGATATTTAAAAGTGAACTTATTCTTACTTTCTAATAATATATAGGGTAATATTACCAGTGTAATAACCTGATATTATCTTCATTAACTAATATTATCTCTTTAAATGTGATGCATATATTTATGTATCATACCTATATATATTTACGAGTGACAAATTAAACATTATAAAGAAATATAATAATCAGTTTTAATTTCCAATAAATTAAACGAAATGAAAGAAATTAAATTTAAGAGATAGAGTTTCTTCGCAGATTATAAAAACAATGTTACTTAACAATGACCAAGTATTATATGCTTATTGGTCAAGAGAAAACAAAATTTTCCAACATGTTCGACAAAATGCAGTATATCTTAAAACTAAATAAATGATTAACTCTTTAATTCTGTTATATTTAATTATATATATAATTGAAATAAAGAGGAAAAATCTATCTAGAAATTACTATAGCATACTGAAACGTGATGTTTCAAACAATAAATTTCTTTATTACTTCATCTTTAGTGATGTTTTATTACAGATCATGGATCTTATAATTCATTCATGTCCAATTGTGTTTCATCTATCTTTTGAGACAGTACATAAGAACGACCCATACATCCTACTTTCAACCACCAGGGTTAAAGATCTTTATGATCACATTGAGGAAAATTATCAAGTACAACCTGACAGCTTTAAGTTGTTTCTACTAGCAACTGGAAAAGTGGTTAGTATTTACACTTTTCTTGTTATATTGTTTCATACATCATCCTCGTTTAAATTGATGGTACCTATATTGTCATTAGATTGATTTATCTGAAATGAAAGATAAACTTATGGCAGATGTTGGTGTAGTTTTTTCTAATGAAGAAGACTTATTAAAATATAAATATGCACTCTTAGTTATGAGGCCAACAGATACTTTGACAAAAATGGAACTCGAATATAATGCATCATCTAATAATTTAGGAGGGATGCCTCTTCGTCATTCAATAATACTGGAAGAAGATAATAATACTGATTATAAAAGTTATATTAAACCCGAAACAGGTATATGACAAGTAGTTTTTGAAATATTGTTATTTTATTAACACATATTTCGCATAAAAGTTTTTAGTTTCAATTTTATATCGTTACTTTAGGTTATGTAGGTTTGGTAAATCAAGCAATGACATGTTATTTAAATAGTTTGCTTCAAGCATTATACATGACTCCTGAATTTCGAAATGCATTGTACAATTGGGAATATACAAGTGGATCGGATACAGATGAAGCTAGAAGTATTCCATATCAGTTACAAAACTTATTTTTAAACTTGCAGGTATTAAAGTTTCAAGCCACAAGTCACAATCATTTGTAATATGATTGAATTTTAAGAAGACTTCTAATAAAATTTTATTTATTTATAGACATCAACAAAATCAGCTGTGGAAACTACAGCGTTAACAAAAAGTTTTGGTTGGGATTCTACTGAAGCTTGGCAACAGCATGACATTCAAGAATTGTGCAGAGTAATGTTCGAAGCATTAGAACAGAAATTTAAAAACACAGAACAAGCTGATTTAATCAACAGGTTTTATGAAGGTATAAATCAGAGTTACTGTATGTGTTAAAAAAGAGTCTGTAATTTGATTTTTGTATTGTTAGGAAAGATGATTGATTATGTTAAATGTTTGGAATGTGGAACTGAGAAGTCTAGAGAAGATACTTTTCTTGATATACCATTACCAGTAAGACCATTTGGTAGTAATGTGGCATACAATAGTGTGGTAAGTTAATAGCATTTGAACGAGTATTGTAATATGTTGAATATTACAGTATATAAAAATAATTTTTAATAGGAAGAAGCCTTAAGAGCATTTGTACAATATGAAACATTAGAAGGAAGTAATCAGTATCATTGTGAAAAATGCAATAAAAAATGTAATGCGCATAAAGGATTAAAATTTACAAAATTTCCATATCTTTTAACATTACATCTTAAAAGATTTGATTTTGACTTTAATACTTTTCACAGAATTAAACTTAATGATAAGTAAGTCTATACGAATATATATTTGAAATGAGCATAGTATCTTCTATAAGTATTATATTTTTATATTTCATTTTGTAATTTCAGAGTCACTTTTCCAAATATATTAAATTTAAATCACTTCGTATCATCTACAACAGATCAGGAATCTTCGAATAGCGAGGAGAACACAAATTTAGCGAAATGTGATGATAGTTCAACAACAGATAGTGGAACGTTAGATAATGATTATACTTCATGCGAAAATAGTCTTCCTAACAGTAATCATTCGAGAACTACTGATCCAGATGATGATGATGAAGGTATGTTCATTTTATAAGGAAAATTTGTTTCAAAAGTATCATTTAAAATAGCTTATTTATTTTAGGAGTAGATGTTCTAAGTAATGGACCATCAACATCAACTTCTACTGAACATAATCATGAAAATGAAAAAAATCATAGTAGTAATGCTACAAAAGGTCCTTATAATTATGAATTGTTTTCAATTATGATACATAGTGGTAGTGCTAGTGGTGGTCATTACTATGCATATATAAAAGACTTTAGAACTCAAGAATGGCTGTGCTTCAATGATCAAAACGTGACTCAGGTATAGAAATATACTTCTGTCAGTAATATAAAACTTATAACATTAAGTAATAAAATGTTAATTTATTTTTATACTCCATAATACCGTTAAAACAGTGATTGATTCCATTACAGATAACGAATGATGATATTCAAAAAACATATGGCGGCGGCCCAACTAGATCGTACTACAGTGGAGCATGTAGCAGCACTAATGCATATATGCTTATGTATAGACAAATTGACCCCGCTCGCAATACTTTGCCTATGCAAGTGCACGATTTTCCAAGCCACATACAGGTACCAAATTGATTTATAAAAATCGTATTATATTCATTTTCCATTCTCTTTTTTATTCAATATTTCTCATTATTAAATTATTTAGAAATTATTAAAAAAGATAAAAGAAAAAGAGGAGAATAAAGAAAAGATGAAAGAAAACGAAGATAATGATAGAATCTTCGTCTCTTCTAGAGATCATGATAGAAATGATAGAGACGAGGATAACGATAGAATCTTTGTTTCTAATGATCATGATAGAAATGATAGAGACGAAGATAGCGACAGAAGAGGCGATAGAGTGGTAATACATACAAACAGGGGTAGATATTATAAACGAATTGCACGTGAATACCTACCACCTTCATTGTGTCGCGATTTTATGCTCGATCCAACGTCAGAAAATAAATGCATGATTAAAGTGCTAGTTGGTTGTCTACATCCATCAGAAATTAGAATGAACTGGCTTACGATAGACTTCTCATATGACATAACTTGGGCGGAAGCTACAAAGCTATGTTGGTGGAAGTTTAATTTGGACGGAGTAGTAAATCTCGATCAATGTCGTTTAGTTCGTTACGATGCCTTTTTGAATTTAATTTTGTGTCGCTATGAGGGAATGGAAGAGAGAACTTTTGAAGACGTCTGGAAAACAGAGGGATATACTTTACTGTTAGAAATACGCGACGCAAATCAGATGTTCGAAGAGAATGAGCAAAATGGTATGTAAATGAATACTCTTATTCGGATATTTAATTATATTAAATACATTTTTTTCTCATAATATACAGTAATTACATCAAAAGTGTACGTCCTTGACGTTACCGAGAAGAAAATCACAGAAGACCCATTGCTTGTGCGAGCCTTACGTTCTCTGACTGTCAAAGAATATAAAACAATAGTAGCTATGTTAGTCGGTATGAACTCTAGTGAAATGACGGTAATACTAGGAGAACCAGGAAGTCGCTTAAAACTCATGGACTATGACGACAATGCTGAATTAAGTAGTGTCAACTTCACTGATAGGATGGATGTGTTTGTATCATCTGTATGTAACGATGAATGGAAATCGTTTGTCGAAACTACAACTTCATGTGAAATTATAACAAATTATGCAAATCGTGCAAATATTATTACAGTGCGCTTGAAACTTCCTGATTTCAATGAACGTAAGTACTAAAAACATTGTCGTGTTCTCAGTAAAAGTAATATTAGTTAATTTGTAACATTACAATCTATTATATAATACATTTTAATTCTAGTTTATTTGAAAGAATTGTATGCCCCAACATTAGAAAAGAGATGTAAAGACACGGAAAAACCTATTGCTGAAAGTCCTTCAAAACCAAATGTCAATGACTTGCATAATAGTGTTACATCCAAGTCCAGTGAGGCTCTAAAAATTGAGAAAAGTAACGAGGATGTGTCAAAGAATGCGAGCCCACAGTTAGAAGAAGGCGAAAAATGGAATACACCAGAACAGAGTAATAGTGAGGATAGTAGTCTCAGTGACAGTGATAAAACATTGGTCGGAGACGCTCTTGAATATAATGATTTTCATGTAATGTACTACCGTCCAATCAGTACGAATAATGAACCTGATAATGAATATTACTTTAAAGTTACGCCCTACGAGGCTCACAGTAGTAAATGTATGAATTTTTATTTTATTCAATCATAAA